TGACTATGTTGCAAAAAGTTACATGTGCTCGTACTTAACTTTTGACGTCGGGAAACGTAAAAAATTTCCGTTTTAGTGCTCCGGGTATGAATGAGTGTCTTTTTTGTATCTGATAAAAGTATAACTATTTGTGCTTTGTTTTTGTTGAAAACTTGCATATTTATTAAATGAAACATGAATTTAATGAAAAAAAAATAGTTTGATATATTTTGTCAATGTTTGTCAATAAATATTAATGTTGTCCACGAACTTAACGGACAACCCTCGTATATATACCGCCACACAAACATTTTGTGCATAGCGGTTTCTGTACAACAAAGCTTGCATTTGCATGTATGATTAATATAAATATTTTGAGGTGTGCCTAGGAAAATGCGTTAAAAGGAAAATAAAAGTATCTAGATCCAACATAGAAAAAGTTGGGTTGCAATAAACGCTATATAATAAATATGATCTGTATTTCGAGTATTCTGTACAATTAATAAAAGTGGCACTCGATCTCTACTTTATCTTGAGAACAAAAAATACATTAATAAATTAATGATCGTTGGTCACTGTATGTATGTATATAAAAAAATGGGGGGAAGGGGTAATGTATAATTATACCAGTTTGTGGGTCACTGTATATATGTATATAACGGATTGTGCAATAAATACATTGCACTTGATTAAAACTTATTGTGGGTCCCTGTGTATACATTGTATATTAATAATGAATTGCTGGATCGATATATTGCAGTTAGTTAAAACTGTGGGTCACTGTTTATATGTATATAATGAATTGTGGGACGAATATACCGCATGTGATTATACATGATTGTGGGACACTCTATGTATAATAAATGTAGTGACCATCGCTGTTTGTGGGTCACTATATAAATATAACATTGTTGGGCAGTTGATTGTATGAATTTCATTGCGAGAGAGAATATCCAAAGAATATCTTGTTAAGATTCTTATAAATAAATCATTATTTAATATGAAAATTTTATATTGAAATCAGCGAAACTGTTCCTAATGATTATTCGTTCATTAGTAAATATACATACATGAATATATTTATTGATATTTTATCAAACATTAATTCTAATGTCTTTTCATTGTGAATTACAGCAAATAATATAATTATATAGCAAAAAATAATATTGCGGGTCATCGAATTAGTATATGAAGAGCATTATGCGATGTATATAGTTTATCCCACAATGCTCTATATATATGAATGTTTTGACCCACAATTATATACAATATTTATAATATTAACTCAAAAATTATATTATATATTATATAAGGACCATATATAACGCCTAAATCATGAATATGGCATAGCTATGCAATGTAGAAATGCGAGATCCCACAAACCAGCTTAGAAGCTCGGTGCCCACAAACAACCTCATATACCTATATATGGACGAGGTGCCATGGAGGAGTAAGAATACTCTGCCGACCTAAGTTTGTCATTTAATCCATATATCAAAGAAGGAAAAAACACGAAATATGTAATTTTGTATTCATTTACTCGATTTCATTTTTCTTGACGATGGACCTGAAATTACGAAAGCCTATTAGGATCAATCTAGAGAGAAAAAAAAATTAAAAGGCGTAATAACGCGAAAAAAGGCATTATAACGCCTTTTGAAAAGGCGTTATTACGCCTTTCCATTCCAAAAGGCTTTATAACGCCTTTCTAAAAGGCGTTATTACGCCTTTCTAAAAGGTGTTATTACGCCTTTCCAAAAGGCGTTATTACGCCTTTCTAAAAGGCGTTATAACGCCTTTTCCTTTCAATACATTGCAAAACATATTTAGCCCAACCGAGGGGGGGGGGGGTGTATGCAGAAATCGTACCTTTGGGACATGAATTTCACAATTAGATATAGGACTAATTTCTCAAAAAATAATTTAAACAGATAGCAATTAGATTTCCTATATTCTAGATCTTCACAAGTAAAGTGTTGCCCTCTCTTAATACGAATGTAAACAGTTGTTAGTGAGGTGTGCAGGAATAAAGAGAATTGCATAAATAAGATAAATAAGATGGTTTTGATTAAATCTTTCTATATTTATTCACATAAGATAACGCCTTTTCCTTTTCCTTTTCATGTAGGCCAGTTATACGAGTGCGAACATACACACTTTTGAGGAAAAGTCTTGCTACAGTTTAAATATTATAATTAACTATTGGTTTCTTGGTTCCTGAACATTTTGTTGCAGTATGTAAAACTGTGACAAATTATTGCATTTAAATAAATTTTTACCGAGTATTTCCCCAAACGAATTTGGCCAGTGGAGTGTGTGTGTGTGTGTGTGGGGGGGGGGGGCTATTAAAAGCACGGACATGTTAAATGCAAAATAATAGTTATTCAAAAAGCATAATAACTTTTTTGGAAAGGCATGATAACGCCTTTTAGAAAGGCGTAATAACGCTTTTTAGAAAGGCGTAATAACGCCTTTTAGAAAGGCGTAATAACGCCTTTTAGAAAGGCGTAATAACGCCTTTTGGAAGGCGTAATAACGCCTTTTAGGCGCCTTTTAGAAAGGCGTAATAAAGCCTTTTAGAAAGGCGTAATAACGCCTTTTGGAAAGGCGTAATAACGCCTTCTGGAATGGAAAGGCGTAATAACGCCTTTTAGAAAGGCGTTATAACGCCTTTTAAAAAGGCATTATAACGCCTTTTGGAATGGAAAGGCGTAATAACGCCTTTTTTCGCGTTATTACGCCTTTTCAAAAGGGTTATAACGCCTTTTTAATTTTTTTTCTCTTTAGATTGATCCTAATAGGCTTTCGTATGAAATAAAAAAAAAATAGATGAATAAATAATCTTCTAATTTTTTTTCACAAGAGATATGTAACGAGTATATATTTTGAAAATTTAATCTTGAATATATTCTTACATTTTCAGGATTTCTCCTTTCCTCTTGCTTCCTCTAATTACTATGCCCTCCTCAAAACAATCCTCTGGGAATATTTCTTTTTTCTTTGTTTTTCGGTAATGTTTACTATGGCACCATTGACCTCGATAAGATTGCTGCAATTTCATAGACATTATTTGTTGTGGGTATACTAGTTATATTTGTAAATATTCAAGTTGACATATTTGGCATTTAAAAAAAAAATAGAATTGTCTGTATTTTTCTATTCGTGCTAGCACATATCAGTAGAATGCATATTTTTTCCACAATAAAAAAAAATTATAACACTATTTTATGCTTTTTTCCGATGAATCTGTTACTTTACAGTCACTGTGGAAAATTTCTACATTATCTAACTTGGTTGTAAACATATGCGGTGATAAAATATGAAGGCAAGTAAACAAAACATTAGTGTTTTATATCATGTAAATATGAAATTTTCTTGATCAATGTAAATGAAATGCTTTGGTTTTGATTTATTTCACAAGGTTAATTCGAAGTATTAACTTTATTACAACAGGAAAGAAATAACAAAATGGTAAAATTTTAGCGCATAGTAGAAACAGGGTCTTTTCAGTAGTTATAATAATTCCGATATGTTAGATAACAATTGGATAAAGTTTGTTATTAATACATGTATTTTTTTATGAATGCTCTCATCCAAATCATAATTTAGCTCCAAAACCCGTATGTATGTATTTAAAAATTGTCTCATCTTAAAAAGTACAGCATACCAAGTATTCCACTGGCTATTTTATTGTTAAATATTTTGATGAAATCACTGTAAATAGTCTTTTATTACAGATTTTTCTCTCAATTAGCAAGAAATCTTGAATTTCAAAAGTATTAACATTATTAGATTATAATGATTATGTTTTTAGTTACCTTTTCAGTTACCAGTATAACAGGGGCGTTATGGTTTTATCTTATTTTGTTTTTCTCTTTACATGATTACATCATCCAAACGTCCAACATCTTTCTTTATGTGTCATACTAAATCATGATTGCTAAAATGTTTAATTTCAAACCAATGAGTCCTAAGATTAAGCACCAAATTGATTCGGAATTACCTAACTTCCTGCCAAAAGGCTACCAAGCTAAAAATACATATGGGATTTTCCAGTGAAAGTTGTCGAGAATTGAACATCGGTCAATTATTTATTTTTTCCAGAAAATTTTATTAGTCCATTCGGACTAATTACCCACAGATTTTATTAGTCTGAATGAAAATGTATTAGTCTGAGACTATCGTTAATGTTGAACCCTGCTTAGGCAAAAAAAAATTAATTTGTTGGTTCTCAGGCCCTCCCTCATCTCTTCCAAGGGTGCCTCATTGACCCTTTTTATTGCTAAATCAATAAAATATAAACACCAAATCACCTCCCTCATCATTTTTTGAGGTTTTGTACAATGTAAAAAGCAGCCTCATCATGTTTTGAAGGCAATAAAAAAGAAAAAAAAAATGCCTCCCTCCCTCATCATATTTCTTGAAAAAAGGCCTGAGAACCAAGTAATTAACTTTGCATGGCCTTACCAGCTTAAAAAAAAGTGGCCACAATAAGTATCAGTAAATCTCAGCAATGACAGCACATCAACAGTATTTATCAGACTCAACAGCAAAGATGACAGTAATTATCAGAAACAACTAAAATTATCAGGAACAACAGTAATAATAACAGTAAATATCGGTAATTATCAGCAAGAACAGCACCATATCAGTAATTATCAAACATTATCAGTAAAATTTGGGATTCTCAGCACTTTTTTCGACCAGAAGTGCTACCCCATGGGTCATGATTTGAGTAAACTTGATCTACACTACCTAAGAATGCGTCAACCCGAGTTTCATCTTTCCTGGCCCAGTGGTTCTTGAGAGGATTTAAAAAAAATACCATTAATTTTTCAATAATTCATAATTATATCCCCTTGGAAGAGGACGTGGCCCTTCATTTGCACAAACTTGAATCCTTCACTAAAAAATACTTTGTGGCAAGTTTGATTAAAATTGGTTTTTTTTTGGACCCAGTGGTTTTGAGAAGATGAAAATGTGTAAAGTTTACGACAACAACTCCAACAACAACGACAGACAATGGAAAATTTTGATCAGAAAAGCTCACTTGAGCCTTCAGCACAGGTGAGCTGATAAAGATGTAAAGAATATTTTTTGTTATACATGTTTTTATCAAATTTATATAGATAATCAGCGATAAATGTGCCCACTCACGATTGTATTGTCTTTCTACCATAGCAGGAATTTATCTCTGGTAGTGAGCTAGTAAACTAGTGCTGAGCGGCAGCTAAGAGCTTATCAGTAGCAGGCTCTCTACAGAGAGTCTCTGGTAGTTAAAGAGTTAACAGATTTGCAATTTGGTATTCAATTGCAAACCCTTATAACCACACACTTACTTTTTCATGAATTTCTTGTGTTGACTGAGCATCACAAAATGCCACAGTGGCAACATCTTTGAGAATGGGCATCTCTATTGAACAGTCTCTGCCATCTAGAAGAGCTATCAGGGGCCTGGGATGCATTGGCCCGTTTGGTATTGGTCCACGAATGGACACTGTAAAATACAAAATACATAAAAACTACATCCCTGAGATTGCTTGAAAATCAATATGAAAAAGAGGCCCACGGGCCTTATAGGTCACCTGAGAATCATGTAACAACTTTCCAACAATTGAATTTGGTTCATGTTTTAAACCAAAGGCCATGAAATTCACAATTTTGAAAGAGGCACCATTGTTTATCATAACAATATACATTTAGCATGATTACTTTGGTTACTTAACTCTTTTCCCCTTAGACCTTTCCCTCCTTTACCCCTTAATGACGACTTTTGACGCACGTGTATTTCATTGTTGATTTCACTTGAAATTACCGCTTGTTTACTGATTATCAGAGCACAGGTGGCCACCTGCAGGTTAACAATAGATGATTGCATCATACTACAGTTAGAAATCACATGATTTACCTGTGTAAACAAACAAAAGAATCTTGGAATGTCCCACCAAAATTCAAAATGGTGGACTGTTACATACGATGTTTTTTGAGCATATAACTCAAAGCATTACACGAAATTCAAGCTATAAACTACCTATCTCTTGAAAGGTTTGAATATCATAATGATCTATTTATGTAATATACTCCAACATAAGATATGAAAATTTTGTGAAGTTCGGGACCGCACAGTGCCGATTTTGTTACCTGTTTCTCACAAATTCAGTTGATACCTTTCATTTTACACATATTTACAGTACAGGACACGAGTTTTCCGCATCGCATGGTGGAAAAAACACCGTGTGAAACGCTCTGTGTTACCCCGTGTACACGGTGTAGCAAGGTGTATGTGAATTTGAACAAGAGGCCCATGGGCCACATCACTCACCCGAGCATTGTGGCAAGGAAAAAGTAAAAATTGGTTTACAATACTATTGAAAAGTTTAAATCCAAAAGTTTGGCCCCGCCTTACCCATGGGGGTCATGATTTGAACAAACTTGAATCTACAGTACCTGAGGATGCATCCATATAAATATGAGCAATTATGACTTTGCTATTCTTGAGAAGAAGATTTTTAAAGAGTTTTCCTATATATTTCTATATAAAACTTTGGTCAGCCATTGTGGCCCTGCCCTACCTCCCAGGGGTCATGATTGGAACAAACTTGAATCTACACTACCTGGGGATGCTTCCATATAAATATGAGCAATTATGGCTTTGCTGTTCTTGAGAAGAAGTTTTTTTAAAAATTTTCCTATATATTTCTATATAAAACTTTGGTCGGCCATTGCGGCCCTACCCTACCCCCAGGGGTCATGATTTGAACAAACTTGAATCTACACTACCTGGGGATGCTTCCATATAAATATGGGCAATCATGGCTTTGCTGTTCTTAAGAAGAAGATTTTTAAAGAATTTTCCTATATATTTCTATATAAAACTTTGGTCGGCCATTTTGGCCCCACCCTACCCCCGGGGGTCATGATTTGAACAAACTTGAATCTAAACTACCTGGGGATGCTTCCATATAAATATGGGCAATCATGGCTTTGCTGTTCTTAAGAAGAAGATTTTTAAAGAATTTTCCTATATATTTCAATATAAAACTTTGGTCGCCCATTGTGACCCCGCCCTACCCCCGGGGGTCATGATTTGAACAAACTTGGATCTACACTACCTGGGGATGCTTCCATATAAATATGATCAATTATGGCTTTGCTGTTCTTGAGAAGAAGCTTTTTAAAGAGTTTTCCTATATATTTCTATATAAAACTTTGGTCGGCCATTGTGGCCCTGTCCTACCCCCGGGGGTCATGATTGGAACAAACTTGGATCTACATTACCTGAGGATGCTTCCATAAAAATATGATGAATTATGGCTTTGTCATTCTTGAGAAGAAGATGTTTAAAGAATTTTCCTATATATTTCTATGAAAAACTTTGGTCGGCCATTTTGGCCCCGCCCTACCCCGGGGGGTCATGGTTTGAACAAATTTTCATTAATTCCCAATTATCTCCCCTTGAATGAGGGCGTGGCCCTTCATTTGAACAAACTTGAATCCCCTTCACCCAAGGATGCTTTGTGGCAAGTTTGGTTGAAATTGGCCCAGCAGTTCTTGAGAAGAAGTCAAAAGTGTGAAAAGTTTACGGACAGACAGACGGACAGACAGACAGATGGACGCCGGACAAAATGTGATCAGAAAAGCTCACTTGAGCCTTCGGCTCAGGTGAGCTAAATATACAGGTAGGCACACCATGCCACACCGTGTCTAGATAAATCTCAGCTAATGTCCTCCGTGTCGCACCGTGTCCAGTAAATTTCCCTCCAAGCTGCACCGTGTAAATAGTATTACAGGCAAAATCGTTTGTTTCTGATAAAAATTTAATAATAAATTTTGATGACAATTTATAACTTTGGTTTATGTATATATAATAATCGTTTTTATTCTACCAGATATTTGACTCTGAATGGCACGCATGATATTGAGATTAGATATCGGTAAAAAAAACTAGAAATATGTCCATAGGACATGAATGCCCCGCCGAGGATATATTAGTAAAGCAACATGAAAATTTATATGTGAATAAAATTTGATCAGTTTGGTTCAGGTAGGGCTTATAGTTAGTAGGGAATAAAAATGTAGGTCAGATCCAGCATCTGAAGCAAGTCTGGTAGTGTCCATCCCTAGATGCATCATCCATGCAAGTTTGGTTCAGTTAGGGCTTATAGTTACTTGGGAATGAAAATATAGGTCAGATCCAGCATCCAAAGCAAGTCGGGTAGTGTCCATCCCTAGATGCATCATCCATGCAAGTTTGGTTCAGGTAGGGCTTATAGTTACTTGGGAATGAAAATATAGGTCAGATCCAGCATCCGAAGCAAGTCTGGTAGTGTCCATCCCTAGACACATCATCCATGAAAGTTTGGTTCAGGTAAGGCTTATAGTTATTAGGGAATGAAAATGTAGGTCAGATCCAACATCCGAAGCAAGTCTGGTAGTGTCCATCCCTAGATGCATCATCCATGCAAGTTTGGTTCAGGCAGGGCTTATAGTTACTTGGGAATGAAAATATAGGTCAGATCCAGCATCTGAAGCAAGTCTTGTAGTGTCCATCCCTAGATGCATCATCCGTGCAAGTTTGGTTTGGGTAGGGCTTATAGTTCCTTGGAAATGGACCTGCTCCAAAAACTTTAACCTGGTCACTCATCTGGAAAATGTAGTTCAGATCCAGCATCCGAAGCAAGTCTGGTAGTATCCAGATTTCATAATTTTTTATCTTTATCGTATTGAAGAATATCTAAATGAATGACTATATTTTAAAATTTCAAACATTTCGTCAAAAAACAAAGGAGATATAGCCATATAAAGTTTCAGCCAATCAGATTGCAGCACACGTGCATGCGCGTGATTTCATGAATTTTTTCTATATCATATTTTAGGATATCTTAATGCATGACTATGTTTTAAATTTCAAAGCATTTCGTCAAAAAACAAAGGAGATATTGCCATTTAAAGTTTCAGCCAATCAGACTGCAGCGCACGTGCATGCGCGTGATTTCATGAAATTCTTTCCATATTATATTGTAGGATATCCTAATTCATGACAATGTTAAAAATTTCAAAGCATTTAGTCGAAAAACAAAAGAGATATTGAGATTTTTGTTTCAGCCAATCAGAGCAAGGCGCACGTGCATGCGCGTGAGTTCGTGCTAATTTGACAGTGTCATATTATTAACACAAATAATATATCCTCAAGTAATGAGTTTCAAAGCATTTCATCAAAAAATGTAAAAGTTATAGCTATATTAAATATATCAGTCAATTCACTCATTTCACGCGCACGCACGTGCAGGCGTTTGCGCGCAAAATGATCTTCGTTCCGCACACCTACACTACACACCTATTAACCCTAAAAAGGTTTTAGCTCATTTGGGTGAACAGTTTCTGAGAACACTCGCGGACAAAAAAGTACCGGAGAACAAATAAGAAAAAAAATAATAATAACTAGAGCAAAGCTCGTTGCAAAGCAACGAGTAGGTCTTCCGTCCTGTTTTGACCGGAAGTGACGTCAACAAATGAAAGCAAATGAGCTAAGTGGTCTCCATTGACTTTATAATTTTGATTTTGTATTTAAACCTTCAAAAATAAACTATTTTTGGCTACTTCCGGTTTGACCGGAAGTGATGTCAACGGACAGAAAATGAAGTTTTATGCTTCCAGATACATATGTTACACAAAAATATGTCAAGAACGGCAAAAATATGCATATTCTGACGACTTCCGGTATGACCGGAAGTGACGTCGCCGGACGCATTTCGACGACTTCAACAGATTAAGCTTGACATTTTGAACAACTTTGCTTTTTAGACGTATAACAAATTCTCAATACTTTTTGAGATATAAATGAAAAACTTTCGGCCCCTCTAGGCCCTTTATTTTAGGGGCCAGCCCTTTTTACGATATATCATTTGAAAGATCATGTAATTCTACACTTCTTTTGTTCTATATGTCTTAACAAAATATTTGTATGTGAAAAGATATCGAAGAAAAGGTGTTAGAAATTTTAAAATTCTCGACATGCCCATTTTTGGACCATAGCGAGCGTCGGCGTGCAGCACTTCCGGTAAAAATGAAATGCGTATGTCACATCTACAGACATTGCTCTATCATTGCTCAAAAAACTCAAGTTTCTATCTTAAGCCGTTTTTGAGAAAACTCGCGGACAAACTGACCCCCTGAAAATCACTAAATCGCAAAAATCTCAAAACCGGAAGTGACGTCATCAAAACAAAAAATTATATATCAGCTTTGTTTGATGCTTTATCAGTCCTGAAAGTTTCATGAAAATCGAGCGTGCCGTTTCTGAGAAATCGTGTACACAAAATCGGTAAGAAAAAAAACAATAAAAATAACTAGAGCCGAGCTCGTTGCAAAGCAACGAGTAGGTCTTCCGTCCTGGTTGACCGGAAGTAACTTTCATTAAAAAAAATGAAGAGTTATGAAGTCCCAAAATGGTTTAATCCTCCAAATCTATGGTAATTATTGCAAAATTAAGCCATT